GTGATAGGAAATCCAATACAGGAGGTGAGGGGTATCTTTCAATGGGGCACTTGTTCAGGTAACAATAGTGATGGGCTTAACACCCCCCTGTTCGGTTTGCAGTTGAATATCCGAACCTACAGAATGTTCGACCGCAAACTCAAAACACGAGCAGTTTACTAAGTTGAGTATGTGGTAAGATACTGCTCAGTTACTAAAATACGGCATGAGTTACAGTATATTACGTAATGCAGTATTTTAGTAGTGAAGCATTGCCTGACAATTAAAAACATTTTAAAAAGAACGACGTGGGGTCCCCCCTCTCATCCATACCAATCCCTTCTAATCTGGTATGGATTTTTAGGGGAACCCCCATGCCAAATTTTTTTTAAAAAAATGGTGTGGGGGTCCCCCCAAAATCCATACCAGACCCTTATCCGAGCATGCAGCCTGGCAGGTCAGGAAAGTGGGGGGAGGACGAGCGAGCAACCCCCCCCCCGAACCATACCAGGCCACATGCCATCAACATGGGGAGGGTGCTTTGGGGCAGGGGGAGCTCCCCCCCAAAGCCACTTGTCCCCATGTTGATGGGGACACGGATTATGACCACAACCCTGGGCTGTGGTTGTGGGGGTCTGAGGGTGGGGGGCTTATCGGAATCCGGAAGTCCCCTTTACCCTAGATCCCCCCCCCCCCCTCCCCCATGTGAATGAGTATGTACATGGTATCGCTACCCATTCACAAAAAAAAAAGTGTAGTGTAAAAATAAAAATGTCCCACGAAGTAGATCCAACGTCAATCACAATGCCCACCACCGCTACCTGAAAAAAATTAAATAAAGACCAGCTCCGCTCATGACGCTGGCTCCCACTGTCTGACAGCTGTGCCGCAATAACAGTTCCTAAATACTAAAATGAAAAACTGATGATAAAAAATTGCGCGCTGCCCAATGATTCAAACAATATGGAAATATTAAAACAAAACAAAAAATTGAAACTTCTGCAAACACGTATAGTGTGTGCTCATCACCTTAAACAATAAATACAAAAACAGTGTGAGGTGTTGCGCTGCTCAAAAACATCCACTATAGTGAACTCTAAAGCAGAACATAAACATAAATAAGTGCAAAAAACATTTAAAAAAATCACTCAACAGTAAGGGTAGAAATAATAATCCCAAGAAAATCTCTTCAGAAATAAAGGTAGGAAGCATAGTCCTACTGGTGAGTAAGCTCACTATCCCGGGGCTGTAAATCTTTTAAGCACTTCATGTCTAGACATTTTTACCCCCTTCCTGTCCAGGCCAATTTTCAGTTTCAGTGCTGTCGCACTTTGAATGACGATTGCACGGTCATGCAACACTGTACCCATATGCATTTTTTAGCTTTTTTTGAGACAGATAAAACTGTATTTTGGTGGTATTTATTCACCACTGGGATTTTTATTTTTTTTTTTTTGCTATGTAAATGAAAAAGTCCAAAAATGTTGAAAAACAGTGTTTTCTTATAAAATTTTGCAAATAAATCATCTTTCTTCATAAATCTTGGCCAAAATGTATTCAGTTATCTTTTTAGTAAAACAAAATAACCCAAATTAGTTTATAACCAAAAATTATAATTTTTCAAAAACATTTTTTTACATTTTTATTTTATTTTTTTTATTATTATTTATGGGATTTTTTTTGGGGTTTTTTTTTAACATATTGTCACCCTAGCAGTACAGTGTCATCATAGTGACACTGTACTACTTGTGGGGGGGGGGATAAATGTAGCAGGGGAGTATGTTGAAAAATAAATGCAGCTCCTACTTGAAATTTGTTCTTTAATTACCGTATATATACTCAAAAGTATCGGTTTGACTTGAACACCCCTCGTACCAAACATACTGAAAGTTATCAAACATACATAAAGATTTGGGGGTTATAAAAACTTTATGTGTATATGGGAAAGTCCGTCATCATAACTGTGAAAATGTCACAAATATATAGATATTTTTCATTAGTACTTATTCATTTATTTTGGTCTGTAATAATCACAAAGCCCTCGTTCACAATGGGTGTGACTAGTCATGCATCCTGACAGATCAAAGCCGCGTAACAAGTCGCACCCTATTTGCCGCTATGGAACTGTTCAAATCATTGTGACTTGAGTTGCAGCGACTTGGAAAAATATTCCTGAACTATGTTTGTGCCATTTCATGTGTGACTTGCATTGACATCTGTGTATGAAGTCGCACAGATGTCAGAAGACACACATGAAATTGCACTGATCAGCGGCTTTGAAATTGCGCTCAAGTAGCACGCCTTCAAAGCCGCCCCCTGTGTGAACCAGAGATAAGTGGGGTTTTGGTCTGGATAGTTGTTAGTACTATATATTTATTTATTTCAGATACTTATATAGCGCCGTCAATGTACGCAGCGCTTTACCTATATATTGTACATTCACATCAGTCCCTAACCCTCAAGGGGTGTACAATCTAAGGTCCCTAACTTACATTCATACATACACATACTAGGGCCAATTTAGACCGAGCCAGTTAACCTACCAGCATGTCTTTGGAGTGTGGAAGGAAACTGGAGTACCTGGAGGAAACCCACGCAGGCACAGGGAGAGCATGCAAACTCCAGGAAGTTGGTGCTGTGGTTTGGATTTGAACCAACAACCCTCTCTTAGATTGTAAGCTCCCAGGATGAGGGCTGTCAGGGCTCCCAGTAAGACCAGAGATGTGTGAACTGACACAGGGAAACGCAGGCTCAAGTATGGTGTAACAATATAATTTATTAAAGGTTATACACAAATATAAAATGCACAATATAACAAAAGAAAACCTCCAACTGATAACGGAATGAACACAGACAAGAGCAGTCAGGGCTGGTGAGGTGGAGTGGTCAGGCAGGCCGGGTCAGGAACCATCGGGCAGACAAGACACAAAGGAGCAGGCAGAAGAGTGGTCAGGAATAGCCGAGGTCAGGACAGGCGGAGTTCGTTCAGAGTCAGGATCAAAGCAGAAACAGGATCAGGCAGGAAGCAGACAGGATGCAGGTACAGGGGCTCATGGGAAACATACACCAAGGCACTAACTGCAGGTCTGGCCACTCCTTAAATACACCTCCTGCAATCAACCTCAGGTGATGACTTGATTGCAGGAGTGAGCTTCTGGCTGCTGAGAGCACCCGCTGGCCAGCCCTGGTACTGCAGCCCACACGGCAGGTGAGTCCCACCACCAGTGGTGAGTCCATTCCTGACAAGGGCCCTCCTAACCCTCTTTTATTGAATTGTATTGTTGCTATATTGTCTCCCTTTATATTGTAAAGCGCTGAGCAAACTGTTGGCGCTATATAAATCCTGTATAATAATAATAGTACTGCCAGGCGGAAGTGCTAACCATTTAGCTACTGTGCTGCCCAGTATATACTATATATTACAGTATTACAGCCTTCCTCATTCAGGATTCCATGGAACCCTAAAGTTCCTCCAGAGGCTGTAAGAGGTTTCTTGAGCTGTGCCTGACTGATCTCCCATTTTGTGGTGCCTGCATAGTTTTGGCCCAATGGCACTTGGTAGACTTAGTGGCATGAATGGCATGAAAAATGGGCATTTTTCCAAATGACCTTCAATTAATTGGTTGTATCTGGTGTACCCCAAGACCTTTCAATTGTTCCTCTAGGGTGAAAAGGTTGAGAAAGGATGATAGACTATATACAGTACATATATTAGAATATATACCCTGTGAGTAGAGATGTTGTTTAGATACTCAACGTTCTATTTTTGTTTGACCTTTTTATGGGTCCATTTTAAGTGAATTGGTGGCAGAGTGACATTTATTCACTTTTGTAGTGTTCATGCCTAAAAAGGGGGCACTGGGAATATACCCAGGTCTCCCTTGTTAGTACAGAGACTACCAGTAACCAGGGCGGTCCCACACACACCGACAACACAGGCTCAGTCTAGGGGATGTCTTTTTACTATTTATTGCTATATAACTTGAACAGGAATGGGGGATACTACAAAATGACAGTAGCAATCAATGGGAGGACAAACTTCTTCTAGAAAATCCTTACAGGACCAGCCCAGCACACACTACAGTCCCAAATAAGGTCTTGCTCACAATGTCCCAGGAGCTGTCTGCCACCCAGCTTCTTCAGGTATTTCCTCAGTGAGGGAGACAATAGATCCTTTTCCCGATAATGTCCTCCAGCAAATATCCATAAACAATGTCCGCCGGACCCTCAGCCCAGCCCCTGCTGAGGCCCAGACTGCTTTTTCTTGTCTCAGTAGCTCTCTCCAAGGGGCTGCTGGAACCCTCTTAAGAGAGAAAAGAAAACTCTGGAAAGGCCTCCCAAACATGTATCATCACCCCAGCTACCTTCTTGACACCTCCTTCCAGGGATTAGTTGGAGCCTAAAAGAAAACTCTGGAAAGGCCTCCCAAACATTTATCATCACCCCAGCTACCTTCTGGACACCTCCTTCCAGGGATTAGTTGGAGCCTAAATATTTATGCTGATCATTTGACTCCCCTTGCCCTATATTCTGGAAGCTTCTTCCAGAAGCAGATGGAAGAAATCAAACACCCAGCTAGGAACCCTGACCAGACAAAAATAATCAATTGCTGCTCTACTGACTACAGTTAAGCCAAAAATGAAATTTTACCTAGCAGCCTAACTAGAGGAGGGCACTATACTTTTCAATCACATTATCTGGCTGAACAAGCAAAGGGTTGATAATTAGCTTGATGGAATTGAAATGTACATCAGGTATGAAGCAGAGTCATCTATAACTGCTTTTCTCATTTAATAGGTCAGCGATAGCGCGCCGGACTCCACGGATACAGTGCAATGTTAGTGGGGCTGCTAATGGCTGTGTTCTCAACTAAAGGAGACTGGTACGGGTGGCTGCTTTTCCCTGTGGCTGTCATGTCAATGACATGGTATGTTATTCAGTCTAAGGCAGAACTTTTATGAAGGGCTGGGGTGCATCTGCAGTTTAATTACCTTTCGATGTCCAATGTCTTCTCTTGCAGTCCAGTCCTGTCCAGTGCTTTGGCTAACATTTTTAGCAAGTGGGACCTGCCAGTTTTTACGCTGCCTTTCAATATTGCTGTTTGCTTGCACTTGGCTGCCACCGGCCCCTACAATGAATTCTTCCCCACTGTGGACTTTCGGCCTACAGGTGTCGTCCCAAACATGTCCTGGTCTGACGTCGACATACCACAGGTAAGTCTGCTACAGAAGGCAGGTTTCCTGTTCATTACAAGATTGCACTACAAGTGTGAAACTCATTTGAAGCAGATATTATTGGGGTTAGTGAACCTGCGGCCAGAACCTGTTCAAATATTTACACATTCTTAACAAGCAGTAGATGAGCTTTAAAATAAAACCCACCTGATATCTTTAGCTGCAAACACTGTGGGGCAATCCATCCTCAAATGTCAAAATAGAAGCATTTTCACTTTCTCTCAGGTGCCCAACTCCCAACATGACCCAATAGCTTGGCTTCACCTGTTCCCCCTCCCAGAAATGGCTCAGCAGCTTAGATCCCTTTGCTGTCCTCCCACCACTTATTCAGCAGCTTAGCTCCGCCTACTCCCATCTCCCAGCAGTCATTCAGCAGGTCAGAAACCCCCCTCACAGCAGTGTTTCTGCAGCTCATCTGAACCTGCTCTCCCTACCATGAGTCAGCAGCTCAGCACTCCCTTCTACTCATTCCAGCAGTGACTCAGCAGCTCAGTTCAACCCCTCCCCCCAGGCCCCTGATCCCCCCCTACCATCAGCAGCTCAGCTACCCTTGCTCCACTCCTAGTTATTCAGCAGCTCAGCACCCCCTACAACCTTCTTCCAGCAGTCTTTCAGCAGCTCAGCAACCCCCCTCACAACAGCATTACAGCAGTTCTGCTCACATTTCTCCTCTCATCCTAGCAGGGACTCCGCAACTCCCCTGCTCCCCCTCTCAGCAGTAAGTTGGCAGCCTACCGATATTCTAATCTCTAGTAAAACACAGAATAGGTGCACTGGAAGAGGAGAGCAGAGGTAGCTAAAGCTGCTCAGAGATCTGACTTAGATAACTGGACTGCTTCCTTGAGGATGGACTGTTCCACAGTGACAGCAGCTACATAAGGCAGTGAGGCTTATTTAGAATGTGCAAAATTATTATGGGATTGTAAATACTGGGTGGCGCCAAGGCTGTACCCATGGCGCCACCCAGTATTTACAATCCCATAATAATTATTAAGGTACTCGGTGCCATGTCCAAAAACTCAAGGCAAAGAATATTTTGGATATATAATATGGACTTTAAAAATCCATATTAAGTATCCAAAATATCCTTTGCTTTGTTTAGAATGTTACATAGTTAGTCTGGCTGAAAAAAGACAAAAGTCCATCCAGTTCAATCATTAAAAAAAAAAAAAAAAAAAAGTTATCCTATACCCACAGTTGATCCAGAGGAAGGCAAACAAAAACCAGCAAAGCAGGATCCAATTTGCTCCTGCAGGGAAAAAAATTCCTTCCTGATCCCCCGAGAGGCAATCAGATATTCACTGGATCAACTTTACCGATAAATGTTATATCCAGTTATATTCTGTGTATCCAAGAAAGAATCCAGGACTTTTTTACAGCAATCCACTGAGCTTTCCAGAACCAACTCTTGAGGGAGTCTATTCCACATTTTCACAGCTTTTACTGTGAAGAAACCTTTTCATGTTTGGAGATTAAATCTGATCTAGCAGGTCCACAAACCAAAAAGATCATAATGATCTTTTTGGTATATGGACCAGCTAAAGTATATTGTAGTTTACGTCCTGAGTGCGGCTAACCTTTATTTACTATTTTTGTGGATTAATCACTAACAACTTACACACACTACTATCTAATTTTGTTGTCAGTGGAATACTTATCTGGGCCAACAAATTCTGGGCCTCAGTGGCCATTGTGGCACACTACAGTAGCTCTCCTTTTGGGAGCCTTGTCCGCACTGTAGTCTGGCAGAAACCATTTGTTTTTAAATATGGCTTCATTTGGTCAAAGGAAAGGCTCTCTAATTAAGACTGTATACCTTATAACCCCTGAAGAAAGAGTGTTGTATCTCTGAAATGCATCGGTGTGAAAGGAGCTACGTGTCTAGTCTATGTATAGCGCTGAGAGCTGCCACATATAGTGTAATAGATCATATTTGTAAGCCGTTTGATGTTTTATGTAACATTGTAATAATAAAGACTACAAAATATATTTTATCCTATTTCTGGTATGTAAATGCCTTTTAAAGTACCATTGGGGTTCTTTTTTGGTTTTTAAAATTTCATATGGGTACAGTGTTGCTTGACCAAGCAATTGTCATTCAAAGTGCAACAGCACTGAAAGCTGAAAAATGGCTCTGGGCAGGAAGGGGGGTAAAAGTGCTTGGTAGGCAAGGGGATAAACTCTACAGTATCTTCCTAAGTATCCTATAGAAGTTAAACTAACAGGTCTATAGTTACTTGGTAAATACTTTGATCCCTTTTCAAATATAGGCACCACATTGGCCTTATACCAATTCAACGGTACTATGCTCATCATTAACCACTTCCAAACCGGACACTTTTACCCCCTTCCTGACCAGGGCAATTTTCAGCTTTCAGCGCTATCACACTTTGAATGACAATTGCGCGGTCATGCAACACTGTACCCAAATGAATTTTTTACAATTTTTTTGAGACAGATTAAGCTTTATTTTGGTGGTATTTATTCACCACTGGGATTTTTATTTTTTTTTTGCTATGTAAATGAAAAAATCCAAACATTTTGAAAAAAAGTGTTTTTTTTATAAAATTTTTGCAAAATAAATAATATTTCATCATAAATCTTTGCCAAAATGTATTCCGTTATCTGTTTAGTAAAAAAAAAAAAATCCAAATTAGTTAATAACCAAAAATTATAATTTTTAAACATTTTTTTTCACATTTTTATTTTATTTGTTTATATTATTATTTTTTATTTATTTACTTATTTTTTACATACTGTCACCCAAGCAGTACAGAGTCACCATGGTGACACTGTACTACTTGTGGGGGGTGATGAAGATTTTTTTTTTTTTTTTTTTTTTTAAACTGATTGCTTTTACACCCATAAAGGGTGTAAAAGCAATCATTTCTCTTTCTCTCTGTGTGCATTCTTGCACTCATTGAGAACTACTGAGTGAGCTGTGATTGGTCACAGCTTGTCACATGGTACAAGGCTGTTGTGAATAGCCTTGTACCATGTGACCTCTGTGATCATTCACAGATTTCACACGTAGTAAGCAATGATGTCACAAGTGACATCTTGCTTACTACTTTGCATGTGATCACTGATTGGCCAATCAGTGATCACATGATCGGGACCTCGTACAGAGGTCCTGTCCAACGATCGGTGTTTCACTGTGTCCGGAGGACACAGCGGGCACCGGATCGCGGTGCTGCGCGCTCTGAGGGAGCGCGCACAAGCAGGGTGCGGGGAGGCTGTTTATAAACGGCCACCCGACCCTGCACTGCCACTGTCCGGCCGTTTATATGCAACGGCCGGTTGGGAAATGGTTAAAGAGTCCCTAAAAATTAGAAACAATGAGTTTGAAATGACAGAACTCAATTCTTTAAGGACCCGTGGGTGTATGCCATCTGGTCCAGGTGCTTTATTCACTTTTTTTCTGTCTAAATATTTCTGGACCATATCAGTTGTGAGCCAATGTGATTCATCTGGAGCTGTGTCAATATCATCCCCATTATGGACATGATCTTCCCCATGATCCTTTGTATATACAGAGATGAAGAAGGTATTTAATAATTTAGCCTTCTCTTTGTACCCAGTCACCCACTCTAGATTATTTTGTAGAGAGCCTACATGCTCAGACCTGACATTTTTACTATTAATAGGTTTGAAGGGGGGTTTGTCATAGGTTGATTGTTAGCAGGGGCGGACTGACAACTCATGGGGCCCCCGGGCAATAGGGGATTATGGGGCCCCTGTGTCCTTGCCCAAACTCAAAAAAACTATGAAAAAGGTACCAGGGGCATCTCATGGGGCCCCCTACTGACCCCAGACCCTCGGGCAGTGCCCGAGTTTCCAAATGGTCAGTCCGCCCCTGATTGTTAGTAAAGTTCACTAAGAGAAACATGGAGACTATTGGCCTCCTTGTGGAAATGCTAACTGCACAACTGTTATTCTTTGTAAGTCATTGACCTAAAACAAGTAGGCCAATTGGGAAGGTCAGAAGACCTTCCTTGTCTACTTGATCTACATTAGTAAGTCAAGATATTGAAGCAAGAGGGATAGCATAGCAGTCAAGAAACTAGCATTTTAAGAAAAAGCTGTATCTTTTTTTTTTTGTATGCTATCAGAAAAGTCAAATAGGTAATTTGTTTTTAAAAAGGAATGTAATTTATAGAACACATAGGCATTGATAATATGTGTTTCAGTTGCTGAAAGCTGTGCCAGTTGGTGTGGGGCAAGTATACGGGTGTGATAATCCATGGAGCGGTGGCATCATGCTGGTCGGTCTCTTCATTTCCTCCCCAATCATTTGCATGCACGCTGCTATTGGATCAGCAATGGGGATGCTTGCAGGTACGTCAACAATTGTGTTTAGGATGATTTTTTTTTTGCTTGGTTTTAGCTTTCTCAAGTGCTTCATAAAATGAATAATATAATATTTAAAGTTAATTCTATGCTAAAAAATACTGTCTAAATCAGGGGTGGGCAAACTTTTTGACTTGAGGGCCGCAATGGGTTCATATATTGGACCCGGGGGTTGGACCAAGAGTAGATGAATGATGTGTATGTGTCATCCATAGTAAGTATAGTAATATTCCCCCATAGTAAGCATAGTAATTAATCCCCCACATAGTAATTCATCCCCCATAGTAATTCATCCCCCATATAGTAATTCATCCCCCAAAGTAATTCATCCCCCATAGTAATTCATCCCCATATAGTAATTCATCCCCATAGCAATTCATCCCCCATATAGTAATTCATCCCCCATAGTAATTCATCCCCCATATAGTAATTCATCCCCCATAGTAATTCATCCCCCATATAGTAATTCATCCCCATATAGTAATACATCCCCCATAGTAATTCACCCCCCATATAGTAATTCATCCCCCATATAGTAATTCATTCCCCCTATAGTAATTCATTCCCCATATTAAGTCCCCAAGTCCCCCCTGTGTCAATTCACTTACCTTTCCTCTCGCCATGTCCCGCGCCGTTCCGTGTAGCATGAAAATCTGTCTCCTATGAGGATCTGTCCCCCTCGACGTATCTGCGCATGTGCCAGTTTCAGGCATTAGCAGCCGATCGGCGATCTCCGGCACAAGCGCAGATACGTCGAGGGGGACAGATCCTCATAGGAGACAGATTTTCATGCTACACTGGTCTTCAGGGCGGTCTGTGAGAGGAGCCTAGCTCCGCCCCGGATTGAAAGGTCCGCCGGGCCGTAGTTTGCCCATTGCTGGTCTAAATCAATGTTTCTCAACCAATGTTCCATGGAACCCCATGGTTCCTTCAAAGGTTGCTACGTGTTCCTTGAGCAATGAGCACTGTTCTGCCTCTTAGATAAGTTCCCACTGACACCCTGATCTTTGTAGCTATATGTAAGGGGCTAATGTCACTATGCCTGCTTTGCAAAGACTGGAAAGTGCAAAATTCTATGCAACTCTGCATAGAAACCAATCAGCTTTCATGTTTTATAGTCAAAGCTTAATTGAACAAGCTGAATTAGAAGCTGATTGGCTACCATGCACATCTGCTCCAAATTTTTGCACTCTCCAGTGTTTGTAAATCAACCCCTTTGCACCCAGGACTTGTAAGAATTGTGAAACCTTACCTCTCTGGGATAGGTGTATGTGCTGTTATTTAGTTGTATTGCTTAGAGCAGCAATGTCAGCTCAGTAACAAACTGTTAATCTATGGTAGTTAATCTGTCTACTGCCTGAGCTTAGGACTGATAACTGCAACTCTATCTGGGCTGCCAGAGGAGGGCGGTGTTTTAGCAAACTTGTCATCAGAGTTGGACGCGGAGTTCTCCCTTTTCCTTTTCTTTTTATTTGAGGTATTCCTCGATCATTCATTCCCTACCCCCTCCCTTCCTGAGAGCCAAACTTTATATCCTGGCAGATGGGGGGGTCAACCCAAGTTAAGGCATCCTCAGTCCGGTGCCAGGCAGTCTGCGAAAGTGTAACCTTCCTCACCTAAAGCACTGACCTGAGAAACTTGTGTAGACTCACCCATCATAAAACAGATAAGGCATCTTCTCCCATAGGACTTGAAAGAAGTTGAAACCTCACAGAACCTAACAGTTAAAGATGACAGATGTTGGTTCTAATTCAGAGTTCTCCCCAACCCCTCCCAAAACAGCGTAATGGCCAGTATTCAGAGCCACCCCCCCTTGCAGAGGGATTTTTAAAAAAGAGACAGGCTGGCAGCCTGGTAGAAGAAAAACACATCTCCCAACTTAACATCGGTAACAAAAGGGAGATCAAAGATCCTTCCTGCTCTGCACTTGGATCTGCTTACAAAAAAAGGCATATTGGCAAGTAACTTAACCCTGTAACTTCCTTCCTATTATCTCTTGCTGTATCTTTATATACATATATATATATATATATATATATATTATATATATATATTTTCGTGACCCTCTTTGTAAATATTTTTATTGCACCTGTTTGTACTCTTTTAGTAATAAATTCCTGCCTTTCGAAGAGACGCTACTGTGTTTGTTTAATTCTCTGCCCAATTGGCCTGCGGGGTCTGCATTGGACTGGCGACTTTTCAATCATCATAGTGTATATTTGATAACGGGAGTTTCCCAGTCTCCGACAAAAGGGGTGGTGGCAGTAGAGGGTTAGTTGCGTAATTAACCCGACCCAGTAACAAGCGCATTCAGGCTGCAGGCACCGATTGTAGCCCATTAGTTGGACAATCGCTGTGCAGGGTGCAGCTGGGTGGGGCCTTGTTACGCACGTCACACCGGGATTTTAGATTGTCCGGTCCTTCGGTCACGAAGGTCTGGGGTCTGACGCCTATGGGCGTGACGTATTACTGTTAGTCGCGGGACGTGAATTGTCGCATGTTGGGGCTGGCGGCGACCGTGGTGATCATGACAAGTGGGACTAACAGTTAAAAAAGATTCAAAGAATGTATGTGACAGTGCAACCAACATATGTTGGATAAATCTTTTTATTGCATTAAAAAGTGTTATAGATGGGAAAGCTGACAAACCACTTATGCATTTCATGCTAAACTGTGCTTATTTATAGAGGGATCTCCAGTGGTTTCCCTCCTCACATTTGAGTTCTTCTGGTTTTTCGGTTCAGTTTGCTGTCTGGTGTTTTCTTTTCTCTTTCTCAGTTGTAATTTCCTCTTGTACAGTTGTTTATTGTGTTGTTTATGGCTTTTGACCACTGCTATAGTATATGTTGTATATAATTAATGTAACTATAGTGTTGTTTGGATGGTCAAAGGCCTTAAATACTAACAGAGTTTTAGGAGAAAGTTATAATAGAGATTATTTAAGATCTTCTGTGACCTCCCTAATCAATAGCAGGTGATAGTAGACCCTCCCTTAGTTAATCAATAAACTTGATGTGTGCTTGGAAATTAGTGTAGGCAAGTTTGGATCCATCTGTAGCAGAATGGACCGGTCAGTTTCTTATATGAAAGTTTGAGGTGAATTTATCAATGGTTTAATTAGAAATTTGCCCAATATTCACCCATTTTTTACCAAGATTTGATTTTCCACATTCCCTCTAAAAGAAGCGTGTCCCCCCTTCTCCAAATGAACCAATCTGGCATGCCAGACATACAGGCTGGTGTCCTCAATGGAAATGAGTGTAGGAAAGTTTGGATCCAACTGGAGCAGAATGGACCAGTCAGTTTCTTATATGAAAGTTTGGGGTGTATTTTTGAATGATTTAATTAGAAATGTGCCCAATATTCACCCATTTTTTACCAAGATTTGATTTTCCACATTCCCTCTAAACAAAGTGTGTCCCCCCTTTCTCCAAATGAACCAATCTGGCATGCCAGACATACAGGCTGGTGTCCTCAATGGAAATGAGTGTAGGAAAGTTTGGGTCCAACTGGAGCAGAATGGACCAGTCAGTTTCTTATATGAAAGTTTGGGGTGTATTTTTGAATGATTTAATTAGAAATGTGCCCAATATTCACCCATTTTTTACCAAGATTTGATTTTCCACATTCCCTTTAAACGAAGCGTGTCCCCCCTTCTCCAAATGAACCAATCTGGCATGCCAGACATACAGGCTGGTGTCCTCAATGGAAATGAGTGTAGGAAAGTTTGGATCCATCTGGAGCAGAATGGACCGATCAGTTTCTTATATGAAAGTTTGGGGTGTATCTAACAATGATTTAATTAGAAATTTGCCCAATATTCACCCATTTTTTACCAAGATTTGATTTTCCACATTCCCTCTAAAAGAAGCATGCCCCCCCCTTCTCAAAATGAACCAATCTGGCATGCCAGACATGCAGGCTGGTGTCCTCAATGCAGATACCAGCCCACATACAATTAGCATTGGGTGGAACTTTGGGAACCCTAAAATCAGGACCTCCTTCCCCAGCGCGCCTTAGCATAATACTGACTAGCAGCAGGCTGTTCAGCACCCAGGAGGGGTTGCTGGGGAGGGGGAGGCTCATGTTCCACCTACCTGGCCCTCATGGACTAAGTTTAAAAATAGGCAATAACATCACAGGGTTCATCCTTGTTTGTGACATCACTGCTTATTTTATTTGGTCGTAGTCCAAATATGGGCTATGATGTCAGGGAAGCCCCTTCCCCAGAGTTTCTTGTGCACATAAAACATACTAGTGGTGGGAACTTCTTCAGTGAATCCTCAAAGCACCCAAATGTAGGAGTATATTTGGGCTGGTATCAGCATAACAGAGGGGGCTGTGTGCTGTGTGCTTTTAAAACCCTTTTCATTAAAAAAAAAATGACATTATCCCTCTTAGAGCTGAAATTGTGTGCAAACACAGTTTCAGCACCATGGAAAGCACATTGCGAAAGGAATGAAAGGACACTTCTGATGGTCAGTAAATTTTGCCCAAAATATTCCCACAAAGATGTATCCAAAGATTAAAAAAAATTAGTTGCTACTGTACTATGAAAATTTGAACTAACACGATTTGCCTAGTGAATGTCATATAATAAATAGATGAAATCTTTCTAACTTTCTGGCCAAATCCTATTGAATTTCACTTGGGAAAATATAGCTATTAGTGAATCAATGATAACTACCCCCCTTTGTGACTGTTATCACAACTCAAGAGATATAATGGTCTTAGTGCCTGCTGTTTTGACAGGGAGAGAATACAAGGAAGTAATTAAAAAAGAAAAAAAAAAAACCTAAGAGGTGATGTTCCCTGTACTAAAAATTCAAGAGTGGAGATTTAGATTATGACAGATGCCCGCTTCTGACCGGTTTTCTTCAAGCTGATGACTATATACAGTATGCATGTAATAAAATATACAAATGATTATAGTTTCTCCTTAAAATGTATAGTTGAAGCAGCAATTAAATTGAGCATATTAATTCCTATTTCCTCAATGGATCTCATTTCAGGGCTAAGCATTGCTGCACCGTTTAAGACCATCTATTTTGGACTGTGGGGCTATAACTCGGTGCTCGGCTGTATCGCAGTGGGAGGGATGTTCTACGCTTTCACCTGGCAGTCCCACCTGCTGGCCATTGCTTGTGGTGAGTACAAAGCTAACTGGCATTAAGTACTGAGATTGCTGTATAGGTCCTTGCAGAATTCAAAAATGAATATATCTTTGATGATATAATGGTGCTGTATAGCTCAATCATGTTGAGATTTCACCTCTTGTTCCACTCACGTAAGCATGATGGCTACCTAAGAAAGAACCTATTGTTGGCTCAATCCATCCAAATTGATTTTTAAGTTACAGGTGGATGCTGGTATGTTAAGCCAGTGCCTGGTTTCTTATATCTATTGTATACTCCAACAGTGAGACCCCTGCCATAATTCCCAACAGCTCTGTTCCTGCTGTGAGTTGTGAGTGTTCCTACCCAACTTTGTGTATCTGTCAGGGACCATCGCGATGCATGGGTCTACAAATGTGTAGGTGTCTGTCAAGACATGCAGGCAGCAGGGCACTAGGACCCAGGCGCACCCGTCGTCTATGACAGTACTGGGCAGGCACTAGGACCTAGGCTGCACCTGTCAGGTGCAGGGCGGGCTACTTAAACCAGCCCTGCACAGACACTTGTTGCCGAATGGTCTTTCTGCATAACCTGTTACCTGTGTTGTGAGTACTTTGATCCGGATTATCTGACCTAGCTGCCTTCTCCTGTCCTGACCCCTTGGCTTGCCTGACTCTGCTACTGGATGTTCCCCTTTAGATTTGATCTCCTGTTATTGACCCTGCGTGTGACCCGACCATTCTTTGCCTACTGTTTTGTACCGCACCGACCCCCTGGCTACCGACACGGCTTGTTTGACTCTGCCCTTGCTCATTCCTCCATCCATCCATCCATCCATCCCTCAGGGATCCCCGGGTCCCCTCACATCAGACTCTCACCCTGCAGGAGCCTCCGGCAGACTCCTCTACCACTGATAGAGATATCCAGTAGCTGCGACCTGGTCCCGGAGCGCTCCAAGTCCATCCCCACCATCAGGGGCCCTGGTGAACAAGTGCTCCGGAACTTAGACTCCGCACGCTGGAGAGGCTCTATCAGGGGACTGATAGAGGTGCTGTCGGGTGGTTCGTTACAGTGTCCCAGCAACTCCTGTAACATTCTCCATGACATCAAATAAAAAAAAATCCATTACCCATGTGGGAACCCCTCGTCGTAATGGGCAAAGCAGATGTATAGACACTAGAAATCTCACCAGTCGGATCCCCAAGAAACAGAACAAACTGTTAAGAGGTGTAATTTAGCAGCATCTGCTCAGCTATTAAAGAGGAATGAAACTCCCAAAAGGAAGAATTTTTAGCCCTACTACCTAGGCCAGGATTATGTGTTCTTGGTCCTACAGCTTCCTGAAATATACGTTTACCACTTCTCAAGGTAGAGCGACTCCCAATCTCCAAGCACAACTCCTCCTGTAGGTGTTATCCCAGATTGTGTGCTGCATAGATGAGAACAAAGGATGTCCGATCGGCTGCACTCCAAACAATCCACTTTATTGAACCAAGATAAAACCAGTACAGACAGTGGAAATACAGTGGGGGACTGGCAGGTAAACACGTTTCATGCTAAAGACAGTGCTTATTCATTACCCACTTGAAATACTTGCATCACATCTCCTATGAGGTTGTAGGAGCAGCAGGGTCGGTCCAAAGGGTGGTGGGTCCAGGGCATGATTAGTGATGCCTATTTGCACAAGGAAAAGGCAATCAGCTGAAGAGTACCAAGATGTAAGAACGGGACCCGCTGTGTGGCACCTTATCAGTGGATCGCAGTGGGACAACACTGGATTTGCTGTGCAGGTTATTATATGGTTCTAAGCACACTACAGCACCGCCTGTAAGTGGGAATAAAAAAAAACATAGGTGGCTGGTGGAGCTCAATACTGTTTTTAGCATCCATTTTCCAAGTAGAAGTGCCATAAATCCCTAATTCCGTCCAATTGGAAATCAGACCAAACCCCATTAATAGGCCAATGGCTCAAAATGGTAAATTATATCAGTGCCATGGAAGACTTCACAATGTCTTTGCACCATCAAGAAGAGACATATGCTTGATTTATATTGGACCCAGTTTTGATATTATACAACATACCATACTTTGGGCCACTTACACAGCCCAGGAGGTAGAATAGGGAAGGACCCTATTTTTGTCTATTGACCTACCTCTCTTTCCTACTTCTTCCTTTCCTCCTTATCCTCCCTTCCCCCCACTCCCTTTCTTTCTATTTTTCCTCTTCCTCCTTATTCCATATTGGAACTTTCACCCCCATGAATGTTAAACATCTTTTACAGGTTTTTTTTTTTTTTCGTGTTCGTATGTGGACTCAGTTGTGCTATCTTTCATGGTCCCCAGAAAGTCACCTTTTGGATCTACCATGCTTGTATATTGAACACAATTGCACTGTTTTTGTATATCTTTGCATTTACAATTTCGTGGCTTCCTGAGACTCTAATTCATCCCAAAGGTGTTCTGTTGGGTTGAGATCAGGACTCTGTGCAGGCCAGTCAAGTTCCTCCACCCCAAACTCACTCATCCATGTCTTTATGGACCTTGCTTTGTGCACTGGTGCGTAATCATGTTGGAACACTGCTGTAGAGTCCAGCGGTGGCGTGCTTTACACCACGGCATCCGACGCTTTGCATTGCACTTGGTGATGTAAGGCTTGGATGCAGCTGCTCGGCCATGAAAACCCATTCCATGAAGCTCTCTACACACTGTTGTGCTAATCTGAAGGCCACATGAAGTTTAGAGGTCTTTAGCTATTGACTCTGCAGACAGTTGGCAACTTCTACGCACTGTGCGCTTCAGCATGCGCTGACCCCGCTCTGTCATGTGACGTGGCCTACCACTTGGTGGCTGAGTTGCTGTTGTTCCCAGTTGCTTCCACTTTGTTATAATCCTACTAACAGTTGAGCGTGGAATATTTAGTAGCCAGAAAATGTCACGGATGGACTTATTGCACAGGTGACTACCTATCACGGGACCACGCTTGGAGTCACTGAGCTCCTGAGAGCGACCCATTCTTTCACCAATGTTTGTAGAAGCAGTCTGCATGCCTAGGTGCTTGATTGTATACACCTGTGTCCATGGAGGGGATTGGAACACCTGAATCACATGCTTTGGATGGCGGGCCCAATACTTTTGTCAATATAGTGTATATATCTATGAAGTTGATTTTAGATTTAGATTCACATATCTAATATGATTCTCCATATCTAAGATGATCATTCATTTGTTTTCTTTTTTTTTCTTTTTGTAGCTTTGATGTGTGCCTACCTAGGAGCAGCATTGGCTAATGTGATGGCAGTGGTAAGTATTGTTTGGAAATACAAATAACCTAAAACTACAATCAGAGTATTTTTCCTGCAGTAAATCCATGACTCCATTCTTAAAGTGACTGAAAACTTTTCTGATATGCAGGTGAAAGAAATTAACTTAACCCTTCTAAGTCCTGGGGCAATGAAAACCTTTGTGCCCAGACCAAAGTTTGAACTTCTTTGCTTGCAGTGGTTTGCTCAACAATAGTTTTTTTTTTTTTTAACCACTTTGCATACAAAACTGATTTTCACTTTTCTAGGCACATATGGGGCCTTTATTTGGTAATATGTTTTTTTTAAATGCCCTGGATAATTTTTATAATAAAGAGAGACAAATGCAAAAGAATATAGCTTTAGTCTGTGTAATATGTAATGTTTAAGTTGTATAAATAATATTTTTCACTATTTTTTTTTTTGTTAATTCAGGGGTATAGGAACTCCAGACATGTGTAGGTTTTGACACATATCTCAGCTTTGTATGGTATATAAGAAAGTGTGTACAATTTAATTTTCACTTACTGTGCTCCAAATTCCATTGTTGTAATTTACGGATGATTTATAAAAAATGTTAGTTCAGGGCTTTTTTTCTCAGAGAATAGGTGCAGGTACTCCTCCCTTCCTGATCACCCCTTGCCTCCAACCCCTCTGAGCACCGTCTCTTGGCTGCACCTCCTATTCACCTCCCAGTACCGTTCTTTTTACAGAATCAAGTATTGTTTTTTGGCGCTCAGTAATTTGTATGGAATTTGTTAATAAAAACAAGCCAAGGAATAAAATAGATCTAATGCAGCCAGGAACAACAGATCCCATTAGAAACAACAGTTCCCCCAGAAACACCAGATCTTCCCAACAACAATAGATCCAGTCAGCAACAATAGATCCCTGCAGCAACAATAGACCCCCACAACAATACTGTACAGTATATATCCACCCAAGCAACAATAGTCACCCACCAGCCACAGTAGATCTCCCAGCAGCCACCATCAATAGACCCTCCAGCTTGATCTCATCTTCCAGCAACATAAGATCCCCCCAACAATAATGGATCCCTCACCAGCAACAATAGATCCCCGGAAACAATAAATTCCCCCAGCAGCCAACATCAACAGACCCTCCAGCACATCCCAGCACCCCTTGCCATTACATACATTCAGTGCTGGTGGTACTGGAACTGCGTTCACCCACATTCCCGCTGAAAAAAAGCCCTGTCAACATTGCCTGTTACAGAGCTGAAGCTGCTGTGAGCAAAGAGAAGCTGCTGAATTTTTATAGGCAACAGGAGGGTTCAGGGGCGGACTGACAACTCATGGGGCCCCCAGGCAATAGGGGATCATGGGGCCCCTGTGTCCTTGCCCAAACTCAAAAAAGCCTATGAAAAAGGTACAAGGGGCATCTCATGGGGCCCCCTACTGACCCCAGGCCCTCGGGCAGTGCCCGAGTTTCCAAATGGTCAGTCCGCCCCTGGGAGGGTTTGTTGCTGGGCACAAATGTTCCTTTGTCACCATGATTCGGTTATCACTGGTGATCCCATGTTCTGTCACACGTCAGAGTGGTTACAAATCAACTAGGCAGGGATTCCAGATTAACTTAATAACAGAAAAAAAAAGAATAAAATACCTTTGTGCTATATGCCTTGATAATTGCTCATTATACATGCATGTTGTGTTTCATATGGGTACTAGCTCCACCCATTACATCACTACAGGAAGGCTTTCCCTAAAAAGGGGGCCTAACACCCAAAAACATAATTCCCTCTACCATACTGCTTTGGGACTGAGCCATCTAGCAGCCGATATTCTAACTGCTCCTACTAACAAGCACATACTCAACTATCTTACACTTTGTTCAGCTGATGAGAGTGAAGCAAATAATCTGTATTCCTGAGTCTGGAGGAGCGTGTGCCTGGTAATTGGCCATATGTCTAGAGGGCACCAGAGCTTACATAGGGTTGCCTTTCCTTATTCCATTGGCTAAATAAAGTGGTTGCTGCTGGAAAGGAAAAGGGGCATTAAACAAAGTGGTTTGGTTAAAAAAAAAAACATTGACCACCAAAATTCTATCAAAAAGGCTTTCAAGGCTTTCAAGAGTATCGGACATTGTGCCCAGAAAGTTGGTCTGTAGAATTGCGGAGTCGGATACAACATATACATAAGTACTGAATAAAGTTGTGATAATTCCTACCTTTGACACTTAGCTATAATGCTCCCTCCCTAGCAATACCTACTCACCTTTACTTTGCTCTCCCACCACGATCCCCCAAGGCAAGCATGGCTCAGTGCCTCACCGTGCTTCACACTGAGGAGTTTTTGAAGAGCTTTTGTGTTAACAAAGCACAAGACAAGCTGAAGAAAAATGCTTCCCTATGTTCAGTATGTCTATGTATGTCTATCAATGTCTTTACACTGGTCCAATGCATTTCAGTTGCAGTGTAAAAAATCCTGCTTGCCACATTTTGGAGTATATTTTTGGTCAGATAAAAAGCCGCAACAAAATGTACCACCGCACTGAAATGCATTGAAAACATGGCAAAAACACACCAAAAACACATAAAAAATGCACCTGTGTTGCGTTTTTGATGTGGTTTTTGAGTCCTGAGAAAAACACAATGCAATGGTGGTAAAATCATGGCAAAAATGCATATGTATTTTTACTGCGTTTTTGCTACCGATTAGTGTGAAAGCGCCCTTAGTTATGAGCAATCACGCCAAGCATCAATGGCGTCCTTGGTTCAAAACCAGATATTATCTGCATAGAGATTGCATAGGTTTCCTCCTGGTACTTAGTCTCCTTCTGCATTTCATAGACATGCTAATGGATTAGATGGCTTCTGTCTAAATGAGCCCTAGTATGTGTGTATAGCTATTATGGCTGGGCACATGTGTTGTCATATTCTGCATGCCAGTCCCAAGCCAAACATTTGGGAAGGTTAAGCAAAGGAGGACCTGGTGACCCATCTCATAAAAAAATTGACCACCAAAATTCTGTCACAAAAGGCAAAGAGTTTCAGACATTGTGCTCAGAAAGTTGGTCTGTAGAATTGCCTAGAGTCGCATACAACTGAACAGATATATACTGTACATAAGTACTGAATAAAGTTGTGATAGTGAACCTCCTTCATGGTTTCCACCATTTTGCTTCAGATTTATTACTCATTGCTCTCTTCCAGGTTGGGTTGCCATCTTGTACTTGGCCGTTCTGCCTGACGACACTCACGTTTGTCCTACTAACCACGAACAATCCTGGCATTTACAAACTGCCTCTGTCTAAAGTCACCTATCCCGAGGCCAACAGAATCTACTATCTCAACCTGAAGAAGGAAAAAAAGGAACAGTGTGATGCCTAAGCACAGACTCCGAACCCTTCATGCCAAGCTTTATGTGGAGTAATGCATTTTTTTCAGCTTTTTGTGCTTTCCATATGACATTTCAAGCTCATCACCTGCAAATGATCAGATCTTCAGGAGAGCTCTTCTATTATCTCCATGCACATGCATTCTAATGCACATATTGTACAGGCCCATTGTGAGCCATAAAGCAGAAAGCTGGATCGCATTGATACTCTGCTTGATGAAAAATTCCTGCCGTTCTGCCTTTTATTTAAATTTTCTTGGATTGTCGAATATATTTTTGAATGTTAAGTTTCAATTTTCTTGGCAAGTTTTATCTGTTGTAGTTATTTTAGCACATACACTGCCAGACATATAAATGCTAAAGTGAGCCTGCATTCCATCAGAAAGAAGTGAAGACACCCCAAGACATCCATTATAACCTTTATTAGCCAGCGATGCCTCTTCTATGCCCTCTTTGATTTAGTTTCACCTTGTTACTTGGGTCTGACTTATACTGACTTCATATTTAAGCTCCACCGATTGATATCCTCCTGTCCAATAAGAGCGCGCTTCCTGGCCATTGTTCCTCTCATTGGACTGAGAAATGGTGGTTGGCAGGACATAGCCATGAGGTCAATGAAAGTCAGACTGCATTACCAAAGTGAAACTAAATCAGGAAGGTTCACAGAAGCTTTTTGTATTTAAAAAGGTAATGGATATTATGGGCAGTTATACACTTAGAGTACTTCTGTCATGGTTACAAAGCCAACAAAAGTTACATATTTTTGGCAGCTATTAAAAATCACAGCAGTTTATAGGGTGGAATGGCTTGAAAAATATCATTACATTTTAAAACTGATTATGAATAAATTATATATATATATCTATATATAATTGTTTTTGACTTGTCATTTCCACAGGCCAAGGTGTCCAGGAAAAGTGACAGTTAGGGAGACTAGTAGTAGTTCTAGGGCTACTGGAGCATTTACAACAACAATTTACAAATTAATGTATATTTCTAGGCAAATCCTTTTGGAAAGAGTGGGAAAGGATTAGACCACTGGTCAAGTTTTTATTGCTATCTCTGTCCCCATAGCGGAGAGTCACTCTCTATCTGTGCTGGTGACAATTGCCACCAAGAAAGAAAGCAGGGGGAAATCCAAACTTTTAGAGTTGTCCCCAGAACAAGAGAGAGGAAGTCTTCCAATGGGGACACCTGCTTCAGGACAACTGTGTAAGAGGGGAATCTCCATCATTTTGGGGATCTTCCCTAACTTTCTGTTGCATCTCTGGGACAGGAAGTGAAGAAAAATTTCTCCAATGGTACACAGACAGCAAAAAAATAAACAAGGATTTTAACCAATTTGAATCCAAAACTAAAAAAAAAATGCTTATACGTACACTTTAAAGCAAATATTATTATTATTTTTAAAGTTCCTAGGGCTTCTCCTCTCTGCTATATTAAAAAAAATGGGGACAAGTACTACATCTCCTCTCCATACTCCAGCATTATCCCTACCAATTTCTTCTAGGTTGAATGACAGCCAGCCTCATCAACCGACTTCCACTGAGCCCAAGGTGTCATGGTCACTCCCACTGGATGGTCACATCATTAAACAGCCTGCATTGAGTGGATCTCACATGTCATGTCCAAGAGGAAAGATCGCCTTCCTCTGCCGCCGAAGAAGAGATTGGGCCTGCAACATCACCATACCCATTACAATCTGACCATATTATCTTTGTACAATTAACTTTAGTTTTACCAAAATGTTTCCAAAATTATGTAAATTGAGAAATTGGAGAAATTGCTTTAACTATCTGTATCCAATGAGCCAAGCCCGTATACTACATTGTTGTTAGATCTAAAGGAGATTGTATAGTCAGATTGCAATGTCCATGGTGACCCTAAAAAAAAAATAGCAATGAAATAACTTGGATTTACCAAAATTGTACCAAATGTTTTTGTAATCTGAGGAATTCAAGAGCCTACCTAAACTATCCAATCAATCTGCATCCAATGAGGCAAGCCCTTACACTCCCTAGCTGTTGGATCTAAAGGTGATTGTACAGACATATTATAAAATGAGTAGAGATCCTAAAAAATGAGCATTGGAATTAAACCTAGTGGTGTTTTAGTTGGGGGCCGACCCCCACATTTACTGACTGCCACATTTAAAGGACAGCTTTGTGTGTGTGTAAATGTGAGATTAAGCTATGTAAAATAAAAAAGAAAGTCATATACTGAATATTATTGTAATGTGAATGAAGGGAATTTACAGGACAACAACATTTCCGCGCTAGTGGTCCTTTGAGTTTTGCTGTCACTCAGCGTGACTGTAGGGGGCTGGCTTAGATCCTCTGTATTTGATTGGTTCAGGTCCTGAGCTGCTTATCCCTGCTTTCAAAAATTGCAGGAACAGGAGATCAAAGTTTCAATTGGTTGTATTTATTTGTTCAACCTTTTTTTTAATCTGTTTTCCTACATGATTAAAATTACTTTTTAAATATTGCCTAAAAATCATTTATGGGTTGTATTATAATTATTTCTTTAATAAAACAGTTTTTAAAAAAATGAAATTTTAATTTCTTTTTCATTCAAATCTTAAGTTACATAGTTGGTCTGGCTGAAAAAAGACAAAAAGTCCATCCAGTTCAACCATTTAAAAAAAAGAAGTTATAATCCTACACCCACAGCTGATCCAGAGGAAGGCAAAAAAAAAAACAGCAAAGCATGATCCAATTTGCTCCTGCTGGGAAAAAAATTAATTCCCGATCCCCTGAGAGGCAATCGGATATTCCCTGGATCAACTTTACCTATAAATGTTATATCCAGTTATATTCTGTGTATCCAAGAAAGAATCCAGGACTTTCCTACAGCAATCCACTGAGCTGGCCAGAACCAACTCTTGAGGGAGTCTAGAGTCCTTAAAAATGAGAAACGATGGCTTTGAAATGACAGAGCTCAATTCTTTAAGGCCCCGTGGGTGTATGCCATCCGGTCCAGGTGCTTTATTCGCATTTATATTAAATATTTTTTGGATAATATCAATTGTGAGCCAATGTGGATCATCTGGACCTGTATCAATACCATGCCCATTATGGACAAGAGGTCCCCCATGCTCCTTTGTATACACAGAGATGAAGAAGGGATTTAATAAATTTGCCTTCTCTTTGTCCCCAGTCACCCACTCTAGATTATTTTGTAAAGGGCCTACATGCTTCGGTCGAACCTTTTTACTATTAATATATTTGATGACTTTTTTGGAGTTGGCCCTGCTATCTTTTGCAATCTGACGTTCGTTTTCAATTTTTGCGCCTTTATTTCCTTTTTGCATATTCTGTTATATCCTTTGTAATGTTTAAATGATGATCGCGTTCCTTTATTTTTATATTTAATAAAAGCTCTTTTCTTATTATCTATAGCTTTTTTAACTTTGGCCGTAAACCACATAGGTTTGATTTTTAGCCTTTTAACCTCCTTAGCGGTGTTCCTGAGTGTAGCTCGGGGAAAAATTTCAGTACCAAAAGCGGTACACTCAGGCTTACCATGCGGCGTTGCTCAGGGAGTCCCTGCAGCACTTACCTTGTCCTTCGCTCCCGCGATGTGTCCCCTGCAGCGTCCCCGGCCATCTCCTCCGGCTGATGCCGGCATCCGGCTTCCGTGTTCCGGTCCCTGTGACGTCGGGACGTACAGGCGCCGGAACCGGCGGGAAATTTGAATTTTTTTAAAAATTTCATTTTTGCTGTCATTGCTATTTCAATGCATTTCACATACATTTTGTCCCTACTACTTTGTCCTGCCCCCTGCCTGCATTTTGAATGTTCTTTCTGCCTGGAAACTTAGAAAAGTCCATGGCGTCCAAAAAGCGTCCCTTTACGTCAAAAGCGGTTTTAGAACAGCGATAGTAAATCAGAACCACTTGCAGAATTGAGTGATAATGATTCGTGGGGGAAATTCCTCATCAGACACTGAAAACAATTTTGCGACTTTGCTCAGCGATGTGCGAATTTGCCTCTGTATTTCAAATTTCAGTGTTTTTGGTTTGATTATATTATTGAATTAAATTTATTATTATTATATTATTATTTTTTAGGATTATTTATTAAATTATAATTTATGATTTTGTGTTTCAAATTTTATCATACCCGGGATGTTTACTAGACTCTTGTTCGGACAGATTTCAGTGAGTTATTCCTAAAAATTACAGCCTACAATAAAAAACTACATATTTCCATGCAAAAAAAATGGTACCGCTTTCAGCACAAAAAATCGGAAAGAATCATACCGCCAGGGAGGTTAAACTTGTTGCCCATGGGAATATATTTTGCAGTGTGTTCACATACAGTCTTTTTGAAGAACTCCCATTTTTGTGTGTTGTGTTCATTGATACCAATATTCCCTCCCAGTCTAAGTCTTAGAGCAGCTCTCAGACTTGGAATATTAGCTCTCTTAAAGTTGGGTGTTTTTTTTTTCCTGTATGTGCTTGCTATTTACAGTTAACAATACATGAAATCATGTTATGGTCACTGCTACCCAGATGTTCTTTTATATGGACATCCGTAATAAGCTCTGCATTGTTTGAGATTACCTGGTCCAGCAGAGCATTATTCCTAGTTGGGGCTTCTATGAAATGTACCATAAAATTGTCCTGTAGTAGGTTTATACATTTTTGCTCTTTAACTGTTTCTGCAGTACCATTACTCCAGTCAATTTCCAGGTAGTTAAAATCCCCCATTATTATCACTGTCCCAGCCCTTGCAGCCCTTTTGATCTGTGCAAGGAGCTGAGTCTCCACCTCCTCATTAACACTGGGAGGCCTATAACAAACTCCAATGATTGCCTTTGCAGTATGCACCCCCCATGTGCAGTTCTACCCATAATACTTCAGCCTCATCACACTCTCCATCAACTAGGTCTTCTTTCACACTCACTTTGAGATCACTTCTCACATAGTGACAGACACCACCAATATGGAGGATGTCAATGCTCTCCTCTGCTTCTAAAAATGCTAGTT